TAAGGTTCATACAGTCTTAATTGTATCGAAGAATAATGTGTTCATTTATTGGTAAATGATCTAGGATTCGGTATGACGGTAACGTTTGTCCAAAGCTCCACCAGGTGGGTGTAAGTAAAGCTTGCATGTATCCTGCAGCTCAGTCGGACAACGCAAACATTCAACAGCGTTGCGAAATCCTCTTGGGACAGTGATTTGTATTTACGTACCTCGGGGTCGAATACAGCGGTGGGGAGAATAGATAGGCGAAACATATCAGTCATCCTGCATCCTCTAGCTCGGGTATAAATACTATAGGTATATCTAAAGTGCATAAGAAATTTCGTATCAGTTACTACGCGTCCTTTGAGTGAAACGTCGCGTTTATCCGCGCTTTTCGTGTATCGTATATCGATTTTACAATGCGATTCATCAATTTCATCTTTAAGATGGAACGTAAGTAGCACTGAAATTTGTTTTGATAAGGCTGGGGTAATAGAGGTTAGGCGAGAATATGAATACGCTTATAATTAATACTTTAACGCATGTAAAACATGTAAACTCATTCACACTGTCGAGCCGGCACTTCTATTACTTGAAATTTAGTTAAGTATTAAGTCCAAAATTTCATTTTAACTCGTAAGACATTTCGAGTTTCTTCATAGAAATAAAGTAATTTTTAAATTATATACTATAACTTACATTCAATTCATTGCATTAAATACAATACAATATTACAATAAAATTACAATTACATTAATTACAATAAAATACATTTAATCAATTACGAAATGAATGAATATGATATGAACAGTAATTTTTTTTTAAATTCAAATTTTCAGCTATTTTATGTAAATGATTTTCATAATTCTGTCACAATGGTGTATATCGCGAGAATTTATTTCGGCGAGTCGGAGAGTTTTATGAAGGAATGGTTGATATAAACTATGGCGAGGGAATTTAAACTCATGCAAAATGCATGAAATATACCGGCGTAGGTATCGGAGATCGATGATACAGCGTCGTTAACTGTGGAAGGAATTTCGGTGCGAGGGATTGTTTTTCTTTCCCGTTTTCCTTTTTTTAATTTTCATAACGCTGTTTTAATTGCGGCGAGATAACGAAGGGTTGTTATTCTGATACGAGAGGTATACGTAGGTATATCACAGAGCGTACAGAACTCTACCAAGGATTATTGGACTCGTATTTCGTTAGGTACCGCGAATCATGATACGGTTGATTCATAACCTTACTGATTTCAACGTGAACGATGTACTTATCTGATGAATTATCTGATGAATGTAACATTGAAAGTTTCTATTCTAAATAATCAAATGTAAAGAAATGTCTGGTCTTTGTCAGTCATAGGCGTATTTTATGAAAGTCTGTAAAAAAAGTTACCACAAAATTGTTCTTGATTTTAAATTTGATGGTCAAAAATTGTTTATTGTATTGTATTTTACACATCATGGAGATAAAAGAATTGAAAATTCGAATAGAGGACGCCTTCCAATATGTACGACATATACCTACGTCAGTGAATTATAAACAATATTAAAAATTTTTTACTTTGAAATTTAAAGTAGAGAAGAATTTCATGATAACTTCTATTTTCAGATCTTCACTGATCCGAAGATGTATAATACGTCTGTGACTGTCAAGACCAAACATTTCTTTATACCCTGTACGATATACTGCTTTTCACTCGAATAGCCTTGGGTATAAATTGACAT